TGGAAAGAAGGGAATAACAAATCACTTCCAAATACATCGCTTAGAAAACCACATAGATCTATCCACACAGCTCAAAGGAAAAACAATAGACAGGTAATCTATTTTCTGCTGAAAACATTAAGGTTTAATGCTTTGCCATTTTTTGCAGAGGGATCTTGGTAGTCTTTAGGCGCTGCATTTGCTCACTGGAAAGGATTAAACTTTTCAAAGTAAGATGCCTGAAAGGCTGAACCTTAGATCTTCTCCATGCAAGGATGTATTCTAGCACTGCTATTGTCCACTCACTTCCCCCCAAAATGGAGTAAGAACCAGGCCTTCCTGAACCCCAACGAGACAACTGCATGGATGTTGCCAACATGCACATATAACTCTTCAAGAGACAAGCTATGTAGAAGATCTGGGTTTTTTCCCCATCAGAATCCCTAAGCAGCACATTTAATCAGCCTGACACTTTATTATTACCAATGCTTCACAATGATGACAAAAGTGGAGTGGGTGGAAATATGTAGGCTATGAATTGCTTTTTTAAGGTCATAATAAGAACATGACATAAAATATTTGTGTAGGTAGGTGCAACATTATAAAATGCCAAGCAAGAGAAGTGGGGAGGATAAAGCTAAACAGCAAGATATGGAATTCCTTCTAAGGGGAGAAGAGATGGAACCACCCTACATACATTCAACCCTATTTACAGCACATTGCATGGAAGGATAGAGAAGAATAAGGATATGGCCATAAAAGGACAAGGATCTCCTTTTCATCAGTGTTTGAATGTTATGTGTTGCTGCCATAGTGGAGAAGACACATACTGTAGCTCAGAGTTGAACTGTTGGGTTCTTGGTGTTCTCTGAGCGTGCTTCTCTTCTTGTAGACATTTCATTACCAGGCTAGGTGACATCATCAGCGTACGGCAGTTATGTGTTATTTTTTGACAATGGTCTACTTCTTAAATGTGCTTTTGGTGGGTGGCATGTCCGACTTTGGACACTAGCTCAAAATATCATAAACTGCTTCCAAAACAGAAGGGCAGGATAGAACAATTTAAATAAAAACAAACAACATATAAATAGCTCATCATTCAACAATTTAGCCATCCTCCAGATATTATGGCCTTCAATTTCTATTTGTCTGAGTCATCTTGGCTAGTGAGAAATTATTACAAGAATTGTAGTCCAAAATAGCTGGAAGGCATCAGATTGTAAACCACCGCATGTGTGTCTGCAAGATTATTATACATATGAGAATTTCTACGTAACCTTGCATAGCTCATCCAGAAAAACTTAAAGTGTTCAGCTAGAATTCTGCTTCTCCGTCCAAGAGCCATTCCTCCAAGGATAAACAATCTTCACAGAGAAGGAGAAAAGAAAAGAAAAGAAAAGAAAAGAAAAGAAAAGAAAAGAAAAGAAAAGAAAAGAAAAGAAAAGAAAAGAAAAGAATGAAAAATCTAACCCTTGCCTAAGAAATCTCTCTTGAATATTTGCAATGGAGCTGTCTTATGGTCGGGAATCAATGCCTTTCAAGTCATGGATATGAAGACATTATAGCCTGGCAGAGGAAATGATATAAAATCTCACCTGACAAACTGAAGCTGTCTTGAGCAAATGCTACAGGTAGTGTTAAAAGATGAACATGAAGCATTTGTAATCTACTGAGAGAGGCGAAGGCATGGGAATCCTTGTTTTACAGGAGACAATAAAGCAAAAGAAAAGCGGAAATTCTGCCACCCCTTACACAGCTGTTATGGGCCGCTCTCAAGCCTTTGATGAGAACAGAATGGCATGACCCATATTGTATTCCCAGGGGAGGTGGCCTGGATGATGGAGCTTTAAGGCTGAAAATGAGGCTGTCCATTCTTAAAAGCAGCTTTGCGTTGCAAAAACAAGCAAGCAAGCAAATGGGAGCAATCTGGAGCGATGGAATAGGAAAAGAAAAATTCTTATTTCCATCTTCATTTCATAATGTGGAAAACGACGTCTGTTTGCCAACATGTATCGGATTAATTAATTAATTATTGTGATTGTGATTTTCACCAAGGGGGCAAGGAAAAATGCTTTTGAGCCATACGGTCAATGTTTCTGGAGCTGTTCTATTTGGAACAGAAGTTTCCAGACTTTTTCCAATGACAATTATTCTGATTATTCATTTTGAAGTTATATGATTGGTTTACTGGTTTAGCAAAACCAAATCAGGATCAAATCAACCACAACTCCAAAAACAGAGCTGTGTGTGTCAGATCCAGTGGCATGCAAAGAACATCTTTGCTGCACCCTAATGTTGGGGCAGGGTGAAAAAAAGTTGCTTGTTTTTATTTGGCTCCTTCTCTAGATCTTCAGAGGTCCCTCTAAGAATGGCAGGGCTTCTAAGTTTGGAGAGGTCCTCATTTTTTTCCCCTCTATTCTCATACTTCCTCCTGGGAAGGGGAACTGGGGGCTACTGGAAGAGAGAAGATGTGGGGACATAGAGCCTAGGCAGTCTCTTTGTTAGAGACCCTCTGAATCCTAGCAACCCCCTACATGACTAATCTGAGGAATTCATTGTCCATGAGTGGTGAGTGATTGCAACTTCTTCTGCCATCAAAGTCTTACTCCTCTCTTCTCTCTTGGAAGAAACTCAAATAAACCGTGATCAGCTTAACCCATCCACCCACCAGCTCACCTACGCCACCAGCATTTTTCAATATACAGGAAGGAATGAGCAAGCTGAAAGTATTTTTTACTTATTCACATAGGAACCCCTACATGAAAGATTAAGTGGGGAGACAATTTCTTTGAGTGCCAATAGATACAGATATCTCCTTTCTCTGCCACTTGACTTTTCTTCCTGGAGGCAACAACTAGTAAACGGAAGGAAATTACATGCATCTTCCTCGGTTTTAATCACGTTACAGTTTTTGTAGTTATTCAAATATGATTAAAAGAAATGATTACGGGGCTTGCTGATAAAAGCGCCCCTTTAGGAAGAGATGCAGGCGGGAGCCATGTTAACTCACTTGCACAGTTCACTATCAATAATCTTACTGAAAGTAGGTTACTTAACAACAGAAAGTGATTATACTTTCTTTCCTTTAAAAAAAAAAAAAAGGAAGTTGATTGCTGTTTTCTTCTCCCTCCCAGTGCAATCTGCAAAAATTTAATGGAGTCTTTTGTGGCATTATTTTCAATTAATGGAATTAATTCCTTTTTTGCCAGCAGAGGTATTAGATTTGACAAAGGGTGGTGGAAGTTAGGCAGCAGAGTACAGGTACAAGCTTTTTGGCTCATGCGCACTCTTTTTGGGCCTCCTGTGAAGCTTTAAAAAATTGGTAACAAGTAGCAAAGGAACTGATGAGGAATGTAAAAAAATAAATGAACCCTTTGAGTTTAAAGGATAGGCAACCCGGATACTTTTTTCAGATATCTTGGATTAGAGCTCCCCAAATATCTTGCCATTGGCTATGCTCAATGGCCTTCATGGGTCCTGATGGTGCTTCAGCAATGAATTCCAAAGCATCTGAAGAACCTCATGTTGTCTAGCACAACCACGAACCTTTTCTTTTCAATGAATTAAGCAAACAAGAAATATTACGTCTATGGCAGTGTTGTCCAAACTTGGCCACTTTGAGTGGACTTCAACTCCCAGAATTCCCCAGCCAGCATGGCTGGCTGGGGAATTCTGGGGGGTGAAGTCCACTCATCTTAAAGTGGCCAAGTTTGGACAACACTGGTCTATGGTATTTAGTTGGTTTGGTTTTTTCAAAATCAACTCATCAAAACCAGCCAAAGTCTCCTGTCTCACACAAGCACACACTGAACTTGAGAGATGTAGGCCATTTTTAATTTTTTTCTTAATTTTTTTTTTTAAATTGGGGAGTACAGGGTCACTCTCTAATGACATTAGGGATGGGGCTTCAGCAGTGATCCTCCACCAGAATAATCCATGGGATTATTGCAATATGCTCTACATGGGGCTGCCCTGAAGACCAGCCAGAAGCTGGTTCAAAATGCAGCAGCGCGAGCCGTTATGGACGCCTCTTGGTGCGCCCATGTGTCACCACTGCTATGTGGGCTGCATTGGCTGCCTGTTGGCTTCCAGGTACAATTCAAGGGGCTGGTTATTACCTATAAAGCCCTGTATGGCACAGAGCTTGGACATCTGAGAGACTGCTGGTCTCCAATCATTTCTGCCCACCCAGTACGTTCCAGCAGAGGGGATGTGCTCCAGGTCCCCTCCATTAAGCACTGCCATCTTGTGGGGCCAAGGAAACGTGCCTCCTCTGTTGGGCCCCCCACCCTCTGGAACAGCGTCCCCTGGAGATAAGGACAGCGCCCTCCCTCCTAGAGTTCCAGAAAGCTTTGAAAACCTGGCTGCAGTCCCAGGCCGGGGATTGAGATGAATGATTTAAGGCCCCTGTTTTGTTTTGCTGATTTTGTCATTGGATTATTTCAGCCTGGGCTGTCTATTGGATTTAATGTTTTTAGCTGCTTTTATGCTTTTTCTAGATTTGTACGCCGCCCCGAGTCCCTTGGAGTTGGGCGGCCAACACGTTTAAATAAATCAATCCCCATCAGCCCTCTACTACGGTTCCTGAATTTTTCACCGTCCGTATCTTGGGGTCTCGACCAGCCAAGGCCAACCCAGTAGGGTAAGTGGCTCCCTTATTCTTAACCTCTTTTGATTCTCTCTCTTTTATTTTGCTTTTTCGATTTTTAATGTATTGATGGATTGTTTTTAACTTTGTTGTACACTGCCCAGCGTCGCCTGTGGTGAGATGGGCGGCTATACAAATCGGTTTCATAAATAAATAAGCAAGTAAGTCAGTTCTTTCTGTTAGTTAAATAAGGAGAGGAGGAAGAAGAGGAGACTGTCTGATGGAACAAGCTGCAAGGCAAGTGAGTGACCGGACCGTGATGGGTTCAAGATGGTCTCCATGACAAGTTCTTTTTCCCCCCCGATACATCAAATAACAGCTTTGCCGATTACTCGTCACTAAGGTACCCGATTGTGGTGACATTGAGGCTGACCTTGGAGTCACCGCCCCCGCTGCCGCACTCTCCTTTGTCGTACCACCATTTGTTTTTCAATTTGTCCAAGAGGCCTTGCTCATTCAGTTTTAATACTGCCAGGTTTACAGCATTTCTTGAAACGATAAAACATAACTCGTAAGAATAATGCAGCGATGCTCGGTTAAAGGTGTTCAAACGCAGAAAGAAAGGAGCAGAAGGACAAATTGGCCAGAAAGAAGAAAAAAAATGTTTGGTTTTGATTTGTTTTGTTCTGTTCGGTCGATGCTTTTTAAAAAAATTATTTGGTTTGGGGTTTTAGGTTTGGGGGTTGTGTTTTTTCCACTGGGAGGTGGCGCTACAGAGAATGGATCGGTCACAGCAAACGACGGGGTGAAAGATTGGGGGGGTGGCTGGGTGGATATAACCATTTGCTGAAAAACCTGAAGTGTGCAGGATGGGGAAACTGTCTTCAGAGAGAGAAAGGAAGGAAGAAAAAAAAAGGAGGAAAAAGAAAAAGAAAAGAAAAACACAACGAGAACACCACCTCATGCAATTTAAGATTCATCACATAGGGCGGTTTTAAACGTGGGCTTTTACCATTTAAATTGAAAAAAGCCACTGGACTGTAAAATTAAACAAACAAACAAACAGCGACAATCAGGAGGGACAACACGGAGAGAACATTTAGGAAAAAAATATGGATGCATTCAGGTCAACAAAACCATAATTTACCATCTTAGTTAACTCCATGGAATACTGTTAAGATCTTTTTTTTTAAAAAAAAAAACTGTTTAAGTTTACCTCATATCCACAAGAAAGAAAAAAAAGACAACACAATACATCAGGGTAGGTGGAATACTATAACAACATGGAGATTGTTATATTATTCCACCCACCTTAATGCTGAGCCTTTAGGAGTTGCTACACCATAGCCTTTGGAATCCAGGTTCCCACCAACTTTCATTGTGTCACAGGGCTTTCGCTGTTCAATGTACTCATTCATGGTGGATTCGAGCAGGAATGCAAACTTTCCCTTTGATTTCCTCACGCGGGCCACCCCGTCGGCCGTGGTTTTGGCAAACACCGAGGGCTCTGCGGACTTCATGTACGACCACATTTTCTCATAGACAGCAATTTTGGATCTCTGCCAAAGGAAAACCAAGAGAGAAGAGAGCAAGGGTGAACATCCAACTTGTCCACGGACCAACCCAAGTGAAGCATTATGAATTAGGAATGGAAAACGGAGGAAAAAATAACTCTCAGAACGGTCTGCCTTGTTTCACTACTCACTGGGGTGGGTGATTTTTCTTCTCCGTCCAATTTTGAAGGAACTAAAACATGCACAGAAGAACAGGGATGGAGGGAGAAGCGTTTGGGGAAGATGTTTGTACCTCAACAAGGGTATGGAATTACTCCCGTTTCAGATTTCCAAAGGTTAGTTTGGTAGTTATTGTGGCCTTTGACCAACGTATGTATGGACGTATACACCCCCACACACACATATATATAAAATATACATTTAAAAAGCAATAAAAAATAAGTTACACAAGTTAGAGAGGAAGAAAGGAAGGGAAGGGCAGGGCAGGGGAGAAAAATTCAGAAGTTCAAAGAAATGCAGTTTTATTGGATGACATTTATTGCCTCGCTCTTGTAGCAGCGAGGCAAAATTTGGCTATGTTATGGGCGGTAGGGTTTTTATGGTCTGCTAAAAGATAGGAGATGTACCAGTGGTCGTCTCTCCTTTGGAATTCCTTTATGAGAGGCTGAATTATTATGTATTTATGTATTTTTTATTTATTCAATTTATACCTATTTATTCAATTAATACCTCATGCAGGTTCAAATAGAAATTACAGTGCAACAGGACATGCCAAACATCCTCTACAGCAGTATTTCTCAACCTTGGCAGCATTCAGATGTGTGGACTTTAACTCCCAGGATT